AGTGGCGCCGCTTCTGGAAAGGGTCTTAGCTCTTCAAATGTTGCTGATGAAATTGAGGAAATGTTTAGATTGTGTAAAGATGGGGGCACGTTTACTTCTGTAGAATGAACGTTTTCTGGTGTTTTGAGGTTTTCTCTCAGTTGTCCAAATATAGAATTGAATGTTTCGTCAAAAAGAGAAGATAACTCACATTCAGTCCTCAAAGATCTTGTAGGAGAGGGTGTTGTGGTAGTAATCTGGTCTGTATTTACAGATAAACATTGCGGTGCCAGAGAGTTAGTTTCAGTTTTTGTATGGTGATCAGGAATTGGAACCTCTTCGACGATAGATGTTAGACGCATCGGAAGTCAATAGAACAGACGCTGTGCTCACATCACATGCTTGAGGATTATCACCATCAGGGGAAGTCACATAAGGACCACTAAACTCGGAGTCAGAAAAAATGCTTTCATTCAATGGTGAAATCCCAGATACTCCGAATCCTGATTGACTATTTTCAATTGCAGCAGCCAATTGTAGGGACGTTTTAACCGGTATTTCTTAAATTGTGATAGTCTTTCTCGTGCTACTACCCAGCCAGTTGTCACATGCTCGATTGAAATACTTTTTCAATGGTCCGTATACAGATCTGTCAAGAGATTGTAGCTTGTGGCTACAATGTGGAGGAATGATAAAACTGTCACCCCATTAGGTTTAAAGTAACCCAACGCTTCAATTGATAAGTGAAAGTCACGGTTATCCAAAAACAAAAATACAGGTTTTTCTTTGCTAGGTTTAACCTGTTTCACGAAATGTTTGGCGTACCTCATAAAGTTCTCTTCTTCCATCCAGCCAGGCGGATTAGCATCACCTTCACATCCTATAGAGCCACCTCTAACAAAATGGGACTTATAATGGACGCGTGGGAATATGAAAAATGGTGGAACTATATTTCCTACAGCTGAAACAGCTACTGCAACTGTCAGCAATGTACCCCTCTCAGCAGATGTCATCTTGCCTAGATTTTTAACGCCACGTCGTGATATTACTCTATTAGGTACTCTCACGGTGGTCATACCTGTTTCATCAACGTTCAGACATAGCTTTGTTGCTTTTTATGGCGAACTGACATGCTAATCTTCGGGTCTCATATGGTGTCCATCCATAATAAATATCAGCTTTTTTTAAATAACTTGCTAAAGCTTCTTCTTCTTCGTCAGTGAAAACTTGCCTATTTTTAATATATCCCACTGAGTCCAAAGTTAATTCTGCTCTCGCCAAGTTCCAATTTCTCCTTTAGTTTTGCCACAAAGCGATGTAATGTCTTATAGGGAATGTTATATTGTTTTGAAGTTCCATTTTACTTTCTGTGACAAAAATTATTAGATGTCAAACTTTATCCTTGACATCTTCTGGTGTACTCGTATCAGCTCGTTCAGTCACTTCTTTTATAGGTCATCATTGTACTATAACAAAATAAATATTAAAGCACTAATAAAAGGTTAACTTACCAGATATTTTAAACTTCAAATTATATTGGTGTTGGTTGACTAACTATTCAACCAACCTCGAAAGAAGTTAGTCTACCATCCCCATACGCCATTTTAAGTTTCAATGGCATGGGTTACCTAAGCACTGCCATCAACTTAAGAAATAATACATGAAATATTATCAATCTGCACCCACGAAACACTCTGACTAATATGCAAATGGTTAACATAAAGTGTGTAAGTGTCAGATGGAAAAATATGCAATATGACAATATTACTTACATGGTACGAAAACACATCACGTGTCACTGCTCGAAAACGGCGTGCATTCGCGAATTGGCGCTCCGGACGGCTGAGCGGGGGTAGGAGAGTAATGCCGTTACCACCGAGAGTACAAGGCCTAACAACAGACCCGTGACGTCACCACGAGTAGGCCGTTCGGCCGGCCGACAGCACGGCGTGCCGTACATCAGCGCCAGTGAATAATATATTATTGCAGCATATTTAATATACTCTACCTGATGTAAATAACAAATAATTCAGAAAAGTGTTTTTGGTATATGAAGGCAACTTGGTGGAAAATATTAAAGTAGTTATTAACTATTTTCACCCTGATTTTCACTGATATTTCATCCAACATTACGTGCACATTAGATTAATAAGTTGATGTTATAAAAGCTTGCTAAAAATGATAAATTCTTCAATGAATAACCCCATGTTAGTCACAACCGATCAACAAAATTTCACAGGAATATGTGGACAATTTACTATTATTAGAGGTATAATATAATGCTACTTGAAAGTTACATAAAAAATGTAGTGCTTGTAGAACAGTTGTGTCCAGCAAGAACCAACGAGGAGGTCTGAGGTAAGCTCTTCCCAGGAAAGGAATAAGGAAGATGAGGAATAAAAAGTGTAGGATAAACGATAAGGAAAACGGATAAAATCAAAGTAAAATAAACAAGAGAAAAAACATAACAAAGATTAACGAAAACTTAATAAAAACTCTTACAACAAACAAATAACAGTACAAAATAATAACAAAAATTAGAAAACAGAAAACAAGTATCAAAAATAGCAAAAATTAGAATAACGAAAATGAAAGTGCTAAATTCCGAATAAATACAAATAAACATTTATCTACAACTATGTAAATGTTGCGGTCTCATGTGAATGTAGTCAATTTACGTTCCCTTGCTTTATTCGCGCTTGCAAAGCTGTCGTTCGTTTTGGCACAATAATTTTTCAAAAATGTATTGACTGTACAAATACAATTAGTTTTATAACATAATTTGCGAATGAACTGTGCAACGCGAAAATGAAGTGTCGTGATTATTGTCATTCAGATTGTTAATTATCAACTGAGAAAGAGCGCGTCTCTTATCAGTGATTTCTGAAAATGATTCCTCGTCACTGTCCAAAACTTTATTGAAAATTATATAACTTAGCATGACAATATTAATAATTGGATCCTTTGGGAATTTTAAGCCTTCTCTACTCAAATTTTGTATAATATTGTGCTTGTCTTCTATACCAATATCATCTGCGTGTGTCAAATTTTCCTTACAATGATCGCAGTGATTTCTCTTTAATAAGGCATAACAACAGTAACCAGCTAAGTAGGTGATGACAGGGATTTCATCCTTTATACTATAAATATCAGACTGTAAAATTTTAATTTCCCGGAAAAAGTGGTAATCATTAAAATTGTGTGGAATTTCATCTATTTCTAAATCATCATTTTCACAGAATTTATCTATTTGTATATCACCATGGCGAGACCTCAATGACATCAGGCTTTGAGTTCGTAACTTTTTCTCAGATTCATATAACTGACGAATTGATATATTATATTGACCCCCCTGTCAGTTGACGATACTTACCAAATCTATTTTCCAATGAGTCAGTTTGAAATTTACCTAACAATATATAATTACTGTGCAGTTCAGATTTGCAGTACCTTACTAATTCCAATAAGCCATATACTGTATGATGTAGTGCAGTGTAAGTCTGACTAGTTAGTCTTTTTGAAAATTTTGATGATCTTTCCACTCTTCTAGCCAATCTAGCATTTTTTGCAAGAATGTCAGCTTACTGTCATCACCTTATCCATCACTGTTGGAGCAAACAATAGGTTCTGCATAAAGGTCATTTAACCGCTTTCCTTTCAATGGACTTTTTACATTAACAATTCTCCACCACTTCCATATAATATCAATGAATTTTGCTGTCTCTTCGAGTGCTGTATGTTTTTACCAAACCTTGATACTGCATCTGTTACAAATGGGTTGAATATCTTGAGCGCTAAATGAACATTTTGTCTTTCAATGTTGATAGGATATAAAGCTAGGGTCAAACCATAACCATTTTTCAATATTTTATGACTTTCCATTTGGTACAATGTTTTAAGGGATTTAAATGAAGCAACATTTACCTCATGTGTTTCAAAATCTGGGTATGTTAAAATTTGGTCTGGTTTTGAATTTAGCCAATTATTGCGGATACATTTTAGAAGGTGCACTGTATCAAAAAGGAAGAATAGGGGACGTTTTTTATCTAACACAAAAAATTTTATAACCAAGTTCTTCTAATCCAATAATAAGTTTTTTTGTCATATTGTATAATAGATTATGATCAGTTTTAGAGACAGGACAGATTTGAACAACTTCTTTGAAATTGGAGTAGAAGCTTGAAATCATATACACATAGGCTTTTGTAGCTAACGAAGTATTATTAATTGACGTTCCAACAATATTACCCCATTTGAAATATAAATATGGCTGAATGTGTATTTCATCCATCAATAAAATCGTGTACTCCTCACCAGGTTTTACAAATCTGAAAAGGTTTTTTGAATAGCCTAAAAAGTTATATCTCTCATCGGGAACTGGATCGACCATCAATGTGTATATTGACTTCAGAGGTGTGGTAAAATAAGTGCTCCATGGCTCTTAATAAATCTATATATATATATATATATATATATGGACTGATTGTATACAACATAGAGCAAAACACTAATTGTTTCTGATGAGTAACTGTGTATATTCTTCTGACTAATAGCAAGCTTTAGTTGCTCACAAATAAATTGAATGACAGTGTGGGTCTCTTCATCGGTGAATAGTTCTGTGCTATTTAAAATATTGTAAGCATGGTTGGTAGTGGCTCTGAACTGGTCTTTACCTGAATATTCCCTCGACGCATCTGCATTCTCAGAAAGAACATGCAGAACATCATCCAAGTGGTGTATATTAGATGATAAAAATGGAGTTTTAATATTACCCGAGTTGAGTAACAATTCTTGGGAGTACATATACGTTTTTACATTGAGATCTATATCAACAATTACAGAGTGAGTTATAATGGGTGCTGGTTTATATTCTAACTTAAACAAACTAACTTTATCCTGAACAATTTTATGCCACCCATATGGACATTGCCATGAACTGAAAACTGTGAGAAAGTCTGAATAATTTGGAAAACAAGTTAATTTTTGATAGGAAAAATAATCATCAATGCTAGTTTGCAGTGCTTTAAGCAGTTGTTCTTGTTCCTTGTCCCTCAATTTCTCATCTCATTTCTCTCTTCTTCTTGATATGTCCTTTGAAAGGTATTTTGGACAATTTGGAAAGATACTTGGAATTACAATTGCCTTTAATTTTGGATACTTAAGGGGTACAGTAATGGTCCTACCTGTCTTTTCCTTATGGAAGGTGGATTCCCAAATGATGATGTCCTCAGGAAAGTGCAAATTACATACTCGGGTGTATTTTGTAACCACTAAATCACTACGAGGCATTGCATTGAGCCATCTTTTACGACAGTTTTCGTTCAATGGAAACGAAAATACGTGTACCTTCGGACCCTTCCCGTAATTACCGGCACAGTTAGGAACGCAGCACTTGTAAGGCATTTCGAAAACTTAGCTAAACAATCGCGAGACACAAATATAAGTTTAAAACATCAATAATTTTCCGTTTACATAGCATTGAAAGATGAGGCTCAGAATGTGAGGTTAGTTGGCAAGGTTGCCACATCTTCCAATTTGAATGGAATATTAGACTTCACAAGTGACAGATTGAACGTAATATCGAAAATATATTCTTGACATACTGAGGCAGATCAGAAAGAATAATCACATCATCACTGAAGCTGCGCAGGCCCCGAGTACATCTTGCAAATTCGCCCACAGAGAGGTACAACTAATCAGTAGAGATTTCGATACTGCTATATCAAACCTAGATATGACAACAACAAATGGTGGCGCGGTTCTCTTGCCAGCCAGTCATAGCGAAACTCCATAAGAACATGCATAGGCCTACTCTGCGTGACATCACAGGCTTGTCAGAGCCCAGTTGTTTGGCCTTGTACTCTCTGTGGTAACGGTAATGCGCGGCTGGGCCGGGATGACGTAGATAATACATATTATATCGTTGACGAGTTTTGAGCGGTTAGTCTACCTACCCATATAGTCAACCATCCCCAGTCTCCCCTACATTTCATCACTTAAAAAACATAATAGCTCATTTTCGAAATTTTTCTCTTCTTCCTCACCAGTAGCATGGGAAGTCAAACGAGATAAACTGCCTCATTGAGCAAAATGAACGTAAACAATCGGCAACAAGAAACTTTATTTTCTCTAGGTATATTACTGACCAATGTATTGTTTCAGACAAGCTTCAAATCTCTTCACTCTAGTTATATTCTTGTATCTTTTCTTCAAATCAGCGAGGGCTTTTTGAAGACCTGCCGTGGTGTTAGACAGTGAATTTGCTAGAGTTTTTGAAGTTACTTCCTCCATCTCTAGAGTCAACTTGTGACGGCATTTTGCATATATCTGGAAACAGGTACTGTATCATTTGAGGAAAATATGTTTCAGAGAGAAACTTTGGCCGAAATCTCTACAAAAAATGTCTCACCTTGAGAGCAGGGTTTTTAAAAGAATCGCAAAACAGACTGACCTGCTAATCCATTACGATGAAAGGTCGTTGAATAATTTTAGGCCCGACGAAAATGATTCGCGCTACTCTTTAAAGCATTGACATTACTCAAGGCGAATGTCTTATCTGGGCCTTATACCGTTTGCCGTATTTGGATATTTAAACACAGCGTCCATCGTCACAGTCATCTTGCAGGATTATAGCAATTCTTGTAGAAGTAATATTAATAGTATTTTTTTAAAAGGGAAATGTTTTATTCTTAAACATCAACCTTCCAGCCCCCCAACCTATCTCGTAATTGCTCATTTTATTATGTTTTCTCAGAATTCCTCAACAACAAAAAAGGAAATCTCATATCCAGTGCCAGTTGTTGGCAACGCTGGGCAGAAAGTGTAGTTGTAAGTTGAATCGTGAACTTCTGGTGGAATATATCAGTCAGTGATTTTAGTCAGAAAACAGATATTGAAAACATCTAAAAACTGATACATGTTAACCACTGTGGTCGTGTTTCTTTGTGAGCATGTATGTTTCGACCATTAGCACAGCTGCGCAAGCATTGATTTCACTGGACAACAAATTTTAGTTTTTTAGTTGTATCTTGTGGGAAAAGTGCACTTCTTTGTTAATTTTGGGGGGCTGAATCCAAAAATGACAATGAAATAAAAAAAATTAGTTGCGGTTTAGAAAAAAAAAATTTTATTTTTAAGGATATATTAAAACAAGTAACAAGATTCATATACTTATAAGAATCACTATATGCGCTATCTTTTTGCTGTTCTTTTATGGATCATTTCTGGAGCATCTCTACCAAGAGTCCAACAGTAGTCTGCAAGCATGGAAGGATTCCACTTTCCCTGGTACATTTTTTCCGTTGTTGAAATATCCGGATGAAAACGTTCGCCGTGCTCATCACAGAGCTCCGCAATTGACAGGAAAAAAGTCCAGGTGTGAGTGTAGGAAATGTATCTTAAGAGACATATTACAGCCCATCTTTTGATACGATGACAGCATATTTTTGACAAGGGTTTTATAGTTGTCAGCTTTTCTATTTCCCAAGAAATTAGTGTCCACCAGACGGAAATCATTCCAAGCAGTTTTTTCAATACCTGTTAAAATGTTTTCAAACTGTGTATCTTTCAAAATATTTCGAATCTGTGGCCCAACAAAAATACCTTCTTTAACCTTTGCCTCACTTAGTCTTGGAAATTTCTGACGCAGGTATTGAAAAGCTGACCCATCTCTATCTAATGCCTTGACAAAGTGTTTCATTAGGCCCAACTTGATATGCAGTGGTGGTAATAAAATTTTTTTCGAATCTACTAATGGCATATGCTGTACATTTTTTTGACCTGGCTCTAGGAATTGACGAACATGCCAGTTTTGTCTGGTGTAATGAAGTGCCTTTGCCCGACTGTCCCATTCACACAAAAAACAGCAAAACTTTGTGTAGCCTAGCTGCAGCCCAAGTAAAAGTGCAACAACTTTCAAATCGCCACAAATATGCCATTGGTGCTCATCGTATTTTATGCATGTCAATAGGTACTTGATATTGTCATATGATTATTTCATGTGAACTGCATACCCTACAGGAAGAGATGGTAAAATATTTCCAATATGCAATAACACTGCCTTTAAACTCAATGTTGAACTGTCTATAAACATTCTCCATTCTTCTGGGTTATAGTTTATATTTAAAGCCGCCAGTAAGCCGTTAATGTTACTGCAGAAAACCAAGTTATTCTCCATATTGAAAAATGGTTCTGTCTTTGTGGCGTTTGCGAAAAACACATACCGAAACATCGTCTTCTAACAAGTTCCACTGCTGCAGTCTTGATCCAAGTAACTCTGCCTTACATTTTGGAAGTTCTAAATCTCTTACAAGATCATTTAATTCTGACTGTGTTATTTTGTGCGGTTGGTGGCATGACGTGCTCGGTATAAAATCAGGATCTCTTGACGTTGATGGCATATTTTCTTCCTGACGAATCACTCGATCGCCATGATCTGATTCGTTTTCTGATTCGCAAGTGTAGGATTCTGGGGTTTTGGAATAGGATTTTCGTCACTGTGAGGCACAGGTCTCATCGCAGATGGTATGTTTGGGTAGTTAATAACCGATTTTTTTTTCTTGGACATACCTGTGGCTTGTCCAACACAAGGTACCATGCAAAAGTAAAAAACATTAATATGATTTGTAGGCTGTCTCCAAACCATTGGGACAGCAAAGCGCATAGACCGTTTTTTGCCATTATAACAATTCTGGCTGCAAAACAACATCTACCCGTTACTTATCCCGTATTATGGAATATAGCGAGGAAATTTTTAATTTCCTTTCCATCGTCATACCTAGTGGAAAGGGGGTTCAGCGCTGTTACCAATCTTCTAACGAAAAAAAGAAACAGACTGGACATCATTAGCCGAGGAGATTTAATATTAACCCTTACAAAATTGACGCCAAATGTTGAAAATTTATTATTAAAGCATCAGGTTCATCCTTCTCACTAAAAATATTGACTTATTGCTTATGCTATTTTATTTATAGTTTATTTTATGTTTATTGGTGTCTGACCAATAAATGCCCGCATTGGGAATAAGTGCTAGCATTGATTTTTTTAAAGAATCCCCATTTATAGAAAATATTTTTTTTTAATTATTCTGAAAATTCAAGTATAGGTACACACTAAAATTCGTTAATTTTTTGCCTATTTTTAGATAACTTAAACGTATAAGAAGCGGAATTTAATCAAACTAACAGTGAAATTATTGTAGAACATACGTTTATGTTATAATTAATGAACGAACTCGCTTATTGTACTATTTTAAAAAAAAACTTTTTTTTTATTATTTTTCACTTTTTTTTTATTTTATCCCTCTTATTTTTTTTCAATGCGGGCACTTATTCCCAATGGGGGCACTTATTGGTCAGACACCTGTTTATTTAATGTTAGGTATATTATACATAACAGATACAAAATTTTATTTTGAGTAGTTTTAATTTAAATTCAATTAATAAATGTATAAATTAACATGTGTTTTTACTTTAAGTTTTTAACACTGAACTTCACTACAGTTAGAAATTTACAGGAAATCAATATCAGATAAGTAGGGGGTCTACCCAACACGGAAAAACATGGCAAGGGGTCTACGACACAAAAAAGTTTGGGGAACTCTGCTCTAAAGTTAACCGTTTTAGAGCTAAAGGGTGGGCCACTATGATATGGGGAGGACATGTTCCGTTGAACTTCCGCTGTGAGCAATGGATCGATTTAATCTTGAACAAAGGTGGGAAATATTGAAAAACAATCTGTGTCGCAGAAACTTTGCGAAAATTGCGAAGACTATTTGGTTGGAATAAAGCTCCGTCCGCGACAATGTTGAGGAGTTTTTTGTGGCCACTATTAGACGACATGCACTTTTCACAATCTCTGGTTCCAGCACACTAAGTTCGGTCATCGCGTTATCAGAAAATTTGGAGACGTTCATTGGCCAGCCCGCAGCTGTGATTTGACGCTCATGGATTACTTCCTGTGGGATACTATTAAGGGCCGCTGTTACACTTACGATCCTCAACCAATTGATGTTCTTAAGGAAAATGTCCGAGCTATTGACGAAATGTACCCAGAAACTATCGAAAATGTGCTTCAAAATTGCGTTAAGAGGAAGCATTGAGTTTTACAGAATATTGAAGAGTGATACCTGAAAACGTTAAAATGGTCATTTTTAAAGCTTAAAAGCTCGGTTAAAAGTTAGTATTGTTGAGGTAATCAAGTGTCTAGATTAAAGCTAGCGCTTTATCTTACAAGACTCCAAATTCTTAGATTAACATAGTTTGTTTTGAAGTTATTTTTAAGCTTGTTTATTAAGCCAAAGTTGCTATCTAATTTTCTAAATTTTCTACGATTACAATACTACACAAAACTGTTTGCTATGCTCGCTCAGCCTCACTTGAGTAAAGAAGGTCAAATTTTGCAAGATTCATTTTCAATATCCGTCATTACCTCAAGATTTGCCTCGTCCTTCTGATCAAGTTTTCTAGATACACATCCGCGGAAATAATATTTAGTTGGTCCCAGTTGTTTCGAGTCAGTATACATAGCGAAAACTAATATTTTCCCAACCTCCTTATCACTTTTGCCTTTACTAGCTTCGTATCGAGATTTGAGTTTTGTTTCATAGTACTTTGGGAACTGGTTGGTATACAAAAAAGCCCTGCCGCATGCTGGCACTGACTCTTTGTGAAAGTCTGAAATCAAAAAGTTAGAGTTGCTCACTTATCCAGAGCATAAAAAAGATGTCAAGTGGGTTGACTGCACTTCCGACTCAACGCCGTCATCAGTTCATAAAGAGTTAAGTTCAGCACAATTTAAACCCTCTGGGGAAAATGGTGTCAAGTGAGTTCACCTTGCACTTCCCACGCAACGTTGTTATCAGTTCACAAACGATTAAGTTGAACAAATTTGTGATTAGCGTGCCTCTATTAGGGCATCTAGAGTCACTTCAAGATCATATCAAGCACATTTCTTAAGCTAGCCACAGAGTTGAACATAACCGCATATCATTTAGGCTTTTCTGGTTAACAAGTCCGAATCGGGTCACTTAGTCACTAGGAATCGATTTGATAGTAACTTCAAGATCACTTCCAAGGACTTATTCAAAATTAGTCTAGTATTCGAGTCTAGATGCGTGTTACATGAGTTTTTGCAGTCGTTGAGTCAAAATTAGAGATTAGTTTGTCTCTAGGAAGGCATTTGAAGGGTATTTTAAGGCCACTCAAAGGATAAATTCAAAAAGGTTGACAAACCGTATCCGACCACCTGCAATAATATGGCAGGTTATATTTCTAATAGCTTGCAAAAGATTGCAAAAACTGATACTAGATTTTATCTGGAAATTGAGTTACAGCGCGGAGCCTGATCAAATAATTCTTTCAATAATACTAATATAAGGAAGTGAAGCTAAAATAGTAATCTGTTCAGCTCACAGTATACAAGTAAACAACAACAATGACAGTATTCTATTGAATCAAACTAAAGTTCATAATTCCTTTAGTATGATCCATACATAGATTTTCTAAAATTTTCAACACACACTTCAACGGATGGTAGAAAAACTCTCTAATTTAGACGTTGAAAATTAGTATTGAACGAAACTCCCAAAACATCAAGTTTGATCTATGACATGGTAAGGGTGGTGTAGTGAGATATCTGATTCCATGTCCAACTTATTGTTTACGTCAGGGTTGTCCCGTGAAGCGGGCCTCATGCGGCCCGCTTCACGGGTCATGTATATAGTACATCACAAGTATAAATTACTCTCAAATACCGAATATGCATATACCTATTAAAACTCAGTAATAATGTTGTATAGAAAGATTTTATAATGCGGCCCTCCAAACTGAATTTTTTTTTGAAGTGGCCCTTGGGCCACATTAAGTCGGACAGCCCTAGTTTACGTTATTAACTTTAAAGTAGGTAGTAATTCGCATTCGTTTTCGATACTTTGATATTCGTGATTCCCATAACTGTTTAACACAAGGGACACTGTACTATGCTCATATAAAATTTAAGCTTGACTATGGATCTCTGGTTTGGTATCCTCACCATCAAATTATATTGACTTAGATTCGATTAAGAGCAAATATGTTTCATACAAAGAGGACATATTTAAGTTTTCTTCTATGTGTGTAATGTGCCGTAATTTTAATTCCGTTAATAGCGTTCTAGATTTATTTTCGTTTTGCTCGACCTTGGGAGACATTAATGCTTATTTGCGTTAACGCTTGATTCTTTTACGGTGCATAGTTAAACCTAGAAGGCTTTTTTGCTTTTTTTAAGTTTTTTTTTTAGTTTTTTAGCCATTTCCACTACACATCCTCCACTGATATGCCTGTATTACTTTTTATTTTCATATTTATCCATCGTTGGCTTAGGCTCTTGAATGGTGCTAGATAAATAAATTAATAAGTAAATGTTCAATATTTTTTTTATAAAAATGAAACTACTGAATACCGAACTTACCCTGTTCAGCAAAAATGTTCTGCATGCGTGTTTGAAGTATCATTATCAGAGTAAGTACGTACAACCTCATTTTACGTAAATTCTAGTCGTTCAAACCAACCGCATTATTTAATAAACTGGAAGCTTTTGTGCAGTAAAAGGTTAACTTGGCCACTTTTTATACCAATAATTAGTCCCGAAATTGATAAATATTATCAAGAAGCATGAAATTTTCATAATTCTATTGGTTAGTTCGAGTAATTAGGTGATAGATGCCCCATAGACACAATAAGCTCAAATTGGAGTATTATTAGTATTGTGGTGAGTAATAGAGCTGATATCTACTTCGTGATAAGTCCTTTCACCTTGGCCCTGACCATTGTTCCACTGGCTTCAAGTAAAGAGATAAATAGGTAAAAAAAAGATAATATAATATATGTATATTTAGAAAATTTTAATCCAACGGAGCATTAATATATTTTTTCTCTAAAGGGTATATGGACCAGAAATGGAAAAACTAGTCATCAGAGTGCATCAAGACTGGGATCTAACAATTCCGAAGCATGGGTTCCCACATTGTGTTCTCAAAATGTAGCCCTACTTCTGGCATGGCGATGTTCCTTCCATAAGTTGTGATAAAAATATTTTCACCACCAAACTAACCTGGGAAATCGCAGTTACTTAGCGCATTCCTATCACGAGATGGTACATTCCTGGTGTGGCCTGATAATGAACTAACGTCGTGGTATTTTTTTTTGGACGTGTTTAGTTACCCGCGCAAAGCCTTTGAATTTTGAAAAAATCCCACTAAATTCTACTAGCTCGAATATTCCTGTCATAAAATAAAAAAATCTGAAATGTAGTTTAGTGCTCCTACTATATTGAATATAATCACAAATCACAACATAGTGACTATAATCTTTATCATTCGATCTAAAATATGAATACTGGCGCCATCTCATGACGAGAACTTTAATGATACCGAATCTCATCTTATTTTCCAACAGACCCAAAGATATCTGTAAGTGTGGCTTGCACGTCAGAGATGCCAACTTTCAACGATTATCGCGCACGTGTCTCAATATATTAATCAGTACGTCTGAGTTACACTTGGAAAATCGCATCATTTACTTTTTCGTTGTTTTATAATTATTGTTCTGCGGAAAGTGTCGCTATGGAAATTTCAAATAATACCCGAAGTGCTACAGATCATGGGAAGTGCAAAACTTTGATAAAATCTTTAAAGCGCCTGCCAGAAGAAAGAATCCAAGATTTTCACAAAATTTCTGAGAAACTGTTTGATTTGTGTGCATATAAGTGTGAAAATTTTGAATCATGTATTTGTCCAAAAGGTCAGAAAGTCGATCAGAGAACAAACAGGAAAATGGTTATGACTATTAACAGAAAAAGGAAACTGTTCGAGAGAAACCTATTATCATGCTATGAAAAGCTGTGAACCCGACTCCTCACACCAAATACGTAGTATTCCCGAAAAGTGTAACAGTAGCCAAAACGAAACCTTGTCTCAATGTTCTTCGGTGCCACAAGTACTAACAAAGCGAGAAACACCTTGCCTAAAGAATGTCTCAAGGATTTGTGATCGGTACGGGATATCCGGTAGAACTGGCGCTGCTGTCGCTTCTGCGGTTTTGAAAGACTATGGAAGTAGTGACGATCTAATTGACAGGTCAAGAATACGGCGGGAAGGACAGAAATCACGACAAGAAAGAGTTTCTTGATACTATTCCTGCTATGTATTTTGATGGGCGAAAGGATAGCACTTTGAAAATTGTAACCAATTGTGGAAAGCATAATCGATCATTAGTTGTTGAAGGACATATTTCCATACTCAAGGAACCGGGCTCAGTTTATGTAGGTTATGCTTTATCCAGTAAAGGTACAGCAAAAGGAATAGAGTCTGTATACAAACCGTAGGACTTGAAGAGGATAGGGTGTGACGGAACTGTAACAAGCACAGGTGAAAATGGTGGAGTTATACGGCTATATACTCGTATTTGGAAAGATCGAGGACATGTTACCAAATATTTCGGAAGTCAAAGATCCCAAGTTCTGATAAACGTTACCTTTATGATAATACAGTGGGTGTTATTACAGGTAAATGTCCTCATGATTTGAGTAATCGTTCTCCAGGGGATACGTCTCATGACGACGGCCAACAGGATTTTGCGTCTATACGTTTCATCTAGTGAACCTACACGAGAACTAAAACAACTTGTCATACTAGTGGTAAAGGTTTATGCTCCTGTTGGGTTTGAAATTAAACGACAGCCGTCATGCGAGGATGGGGCAAGACATTTCTGGAAACTGGTATTGCACTCAAGATACCTTCCACGAAAATTAAAAAATGTAGTCGATACCGTCATTCAACGTAACGCCTTTTTTGCACACCCGGAAAATTTATTTCTATCTATGCTATCTGTCGAACAGAAACATATAAGAGAACTCGCTGCCAGGCGCATTCTAAAGGCAAGATCTATTGCAAATTCTAAACATCTTCGGTTCTTTTAAGTGCCAAAGATTAATCTGAACGTTTCATCGTATAATTTCGTATTCTCAGCCACCTATATTGAGCCATGTTTCCGATAAAACTCTTCAGTCTTTAGTAGAATCAAGAGGTGATGATGAACTTCTTTTTCTACGACTGCCATGTCATACTCAAGCAGTTGACAGTCACTGAGTCTTCTTTAAAGCTTTGTCATAAAGACTCAACAGAATCTCTCATAAAGAATAAAGCCCGCTCTCGGAAGCAAATGCCTTGGTTTGAAGTAAGAAATATGTTAAAGCTGTTTAAATGGCTTTTTGTATTTTTCGAATAAATGTGTAATGATTTCATTACAAATATAACATGTTCGTTTTGAAAGATATGGAGTTTCTTTTTTATATGAGTTTTTGCCCTTTTGAGTCATATAACAATAGAAATCGAAGCAAATAGTTGAATATTTGGAAGTTTCGAATATTCAAAACTGTTGCGCGGGTAGAAGAAGATTAATTTATTGCAAAATTTTAAGTTACTTCTTTACTACTTGACGTGGGTCACCCTTTTTTGCTATTACAAAAATTACAAAAAAAATTCTTCATTATGAGAGCGACCCACCCTAATGTATAATTTCTTGTTGGGCAAAATTTGTCACCCTTTCCTCATTTTTTTAAAATTACTTACAGTGATTGCTTACTACAAGTCTAGTTTATAACCGAAATTATTGTTGTTGACGGTATTCACTCATCCCATTATTTTGACAGCTTGAAAAGTCGCATGCTATATGATAAATTTGAGTATTTTAAAATGAGTGAATGCGTAGCATCTTCGATATTTATTGGATTCTCTTTTGCAGTAGCAGCGTCCTATTAACTGCTCTGCGATAAAGACGTTTCTTGTCGTTTGCTCGGACAGTATGGACGGACGGTCAGAAGATTCTCAGAGCTGCTACATCCAGTACAATCAATCTAAATGTGGAGAATCATAGCAGTGGAAAAAGATTAAGTACATACCTGGATGAAGAATGCGGTTATTGTCCTTGCAAATTACGAGTATATCCCTCAGCGCTATAAGAATGCTCGGTTAATAATCACTGATCAACAACCAAAAAATATCCTAAATAAAATCAACAAAATATTACTATTTTTAATGTGCTAAAACTGGAATGAAACTTATTTTTTCAATATTAGTTCAAGTTTTAGAGATACGGTAATTATATGTGTTCCTGCTGTGACAGTGTTAATATACTGTAATTCACAAGAATGCACGTGCTACATTTTTATATTCGGCAATGAAAGATGATGTAATCGGCATGATTGTGTTACGTTATACATACGTGTACATTATATTGTTTTATATTAGCTATTTTTCCTCAGTTGGCTGACAGCGTTCATGCAAGATATCTCGAAAGTGTGTAAACAATCCAGATCAGTTTTGTTACGTGTGTGGTGATGTGACTTTTGCGTTTCAGAGACGGTCTATTACTCCACTGAAACACTGGGCACCCCACATCTGCTGTAATACATGTGCTTCAAGTCTGAGGAGCTGGTTAAATGGCAAAAAACGGTCTATGCGCTTTGCTGTCCCAATGGTTTGGAGAGAGCCTACAAATCATATTAATGATTGTTACTTTTGCATGGTACCTTGTGTTGGACAAGCCACAGGTATGTCCAAGAAAAAAAGATCTGTTACTAACTACCCAAACATACCATCTGCGATGAGACCTGTACCTCACAGTGACGAAAATCCTATTCCAAAACGCCCAGAATCCTACACTTGCGAATCAGAAAACGAACCAGATCATGGCGATCGAGTGATTCGTCAGGAAGAAGATATGGCATCAACGTCAAAAGATCCTGATTTTATACCGAGCACGTCATGCCACCCACCGCACAAAATAACACAGTCAGAATTAAATGATCTTGTAAGAGATTTAGAACTTCCAAAATGTAAGGCAGAGTTACTTGGATCAAGACTGCAGCAGTGGAACTTGTTAGAAGACGATGTTTCGGTATGTGTTTTTCGTAAACGCCAGAAGAATGGAGATTGTTTATAGACAGTTCAATATTGAGTTTAAAGGCAGTGTTATTGCATATTGGAAATATTTTACCATCTCTTCCTGTAGGGTATGCAGTTCACATGAAAGAATCATATGACAATATGAAGTACCTATTGACATGCATAAAATACGATGAGCACCAATGGCATATTTGTGGCGATTTGAAAGTTGTTGCACTTTTACTTGGGCTGCAGCTAGGCTACACAAAGTTTTGCTGTTTTTTGTGTGAATGGGACAGTCGGGCAAAGGCACTTCATTACACCAGACAAAACTGGCCTGTTCGTCAATTCCTAGAGCCAGGTCAAAAAAATGTACAGCATATGCCATTAGTAGATTCGAAAAAAATTTTATTACCACCACTGCATATCAAGTTGGGCCTAATGAAACACTTTGTCAAGGCATTAGATAGAGATGGGTCAGCTTTTCAATACCTGCGTCAGAAATTTCCAAGGCTAAGTGAGGCAAAGGTTAAAGAAGGTATTTTTGTTGGGCCACAGATTCGAAATATTTTAAAAGATACACAGTTTGAAAACACTTTAACAGGTATTAAAAAAACTGCTTGGAATAATTTCCGTCTGGTGGTCACTAATTTCTTGGGAAATAGAAAAGCTCACCACTATAAAACCCTTGTCAAAAATATGCTGTCATCGTATCAAAAGATGGGCTGTAATATGTCGCTTAAGATACATTTCCTACACTCACACCTGGACTTTTTTCCTGACAATTGCGAAGCCGTAAGTGATAAGCACGGCGAACGTGTTCATCAGGTTATTTCAACAATGGAAAAAAGGTACCAGGGAAAGTGGAATCCTTCCATGCTTGCAGACTACTGTTGGACTCTTGGTAGAGATGCTCCAGAAACGATCCATAAAAGAACAGCAAAAAGACAGCGCATATAGTGATTCTTATAAGTATATGAATCTTGCTACTTTTTCTAATATATCCTTAAAAATAAAAAGTTTTTTTCTAAACCGCAACTAATTTTTATATTTCATTGTCATTTTTGGATTCAGCGCCCCAAAATTAACAAAGAGTTGCACTTTTCCCACAAGACACAATTAAAAAACTAAAATTTGTTGTCCAGTGAATGACACCAAGGACTGTCGAATTGTGATCATGTTCTATCGGTATTCAGAATAAAAATCCTGTCCTTTTGGCTGATTTCTCCAGCAAACATTAAGGCACAAATGTAACACTTTCTGTTATGATTTCGATCCTGATGGAACTCCATGGTTGGTGTGGTTCGTTTAGCCAGCCAGTTATAGGGTCTTATTACGACACGAATTCTAAATAAGCATTTTACTAGCACATGTGCATAAAAACTAGGAAAACTATATCATTTCTTAGAAAAATGTATGTAAACAATCAGTTATGGGAAATGCAATGTCTACGTGGATAAGACTCCCACTGAAGACGAATTTTGATTTACGATAATCCTACTCTCCTGCAAAGTCTCCTATCTTGAAAGTGTTATCCATACCTGAAGTCTGCAAGAAGCTGTACATTTCAAGAACTTAATGCTCAGCTCTGCCCAACTAACAATTATCACTCCTGTTAGGGTTGGTTTATACAGTATTCTTTACACAGCGCTGTAGATTGCAAGAGCATTGGCAAAGCGTTCTTAGAACATTTATACAGGGTGTTCCTTAATGATATGCGAATATTTAAGGGTATGAGTCTACATGAAAAATTAATGTTAGTTTGCTTCATAAACTATGATCCAAAAAATTTTCCTTACAAAAACTCGGGGTGTTGAAGTTTTAGGAAAAAAAATGGAAATTGATTAATATTTTCAGAACCGCTTCAGATATTCCACTGATATTTAGTACGTAGTGAAAGTTAATAAAGTTGCATATTTTTCAATGGAAAAATAATTTTTAGCTTTAACAGTGTCGTGCTCACGGGTATTGACTTCGATATTTTTCAAGAAAAAAATGGTACGCCAATGGTTTTTGCCAAATAAAAATTGAACCGCTTAGACAGTTAGTGGTAAGTCCGTTTTTTTTTTTAATTGTTTGCGAGTACATTATCAAATATTGAAATAATACCTAAGAGCCAAAAATAACTCCATCTTTATTTACACTGCGTTCTGTCGTAATTTGCCTCTGGCATTGAGGCGTTGTCAGATTTTATTTTACTTTAAACTCGCTTTTCTCTAAAAAAAATGCCGTTTCGACCCCCATGTTATATGAAACTTTTTGCTACTTTTAACCCCCTTTATCACCCATTTAAATAATAACTTGACAGTCTACACCCTGTATGGACAAATTTTACCGGTGTCCGACCCGGACTTTGTTAAAGCAAACCATGCTGGCTTGGGGGCACTGAGCAATTATACGCGGATTCGAATTTTAACAACTTAAATAAAAGTGATGCGTAATTGCTACATATCAGAAACTGGCCTTAATGTATACGTACATACTTTGCTCTAATAATCAACAATAGAAAATTCCATTTGTTTTTATTGATGTATTTCCAGTAAAAAAGTTTTCATATCAACGTGAAACTCAGCCTTTATATGTCTTCAAGCATTTCTCGAAAGTTTTCACTTGACTAGCACCTTTGAACTTATCATTAAGAGCCTTCGCAGCATCCGCCAGACCTTTAGTTGTATCAGGGATGTCTTTGGCCATCGCATATGAGGCTGCCTCAGTCTGTGCTGGAGTCAAAGGTAAACGGCAATGGGCATATTTCTGAAAAAGATAATTGGACTATTAGAAAAGCATCGTGGAATATATGTTTTAGCGTAACTTGTTACCCTACTTTCCACCTACAAATTGTACTACATACCAAATTTACGATCGTATAAAATTTATGTATCTAGGGCATTAAGCAGGCGGTTATGGCCCGCGACGTATAAAACTCGTTTGCTTCGAAGTTGAATTGGAAATAGAAATCATTTGAGCCCATTATTGTTCATGGAAGTATTTGACGTCTCCTAGCAATGTATGGATACGAACAGTTCCTGTGTGGCCGCCATGAGCTGTTCAACATAATGTATGCACAGTGGTAAAGTTGCTACACCGCCCTAGAGCAAAATGAGGCTCGTGGACTAAAGGGAAGAACTTATCGCCCTTAGAACTGTTCATAAAGTACGCCCGGTCGCGAATAAAGGGTAAGATTTCTGTTTATGGGATTTTTCGATAAAGATGCGTCAACGTTGGAACAAAATAAGACACGTTCTATGTCAGATATCAACAAAATGTTCTATCCCAAAAGTTCACGACTATACAGGGTGGCCCATCCATGTGTGAACGGAATATTACTCATAAAAAAATAGATTTTGAGAAAATCTATTTCTGGCATATTATACATGATACTTGAGGACACATTTCTGGAATATTGGCAATTATACAGGGTGTCCCAAAATTGACCTAGATATCAAATTTGTGATTTTTTAAATGGAATGCCTCAAATTTTGTTGCATATTTAGATAAACTAATTCAACAGGAGAAGATTGATATAACATACTATGGAGTTTTGTTAATTAGCTACTGAGACGTAAGGTGTTTTGTCCAGAAAAACCGTCCACTTCGGCAACCCCTCAAACCGACATTTTGAAGTTTGGAGTGCTGAATTTTGTATATTTGCTCATACAGGGTGGTCAAAAACGCGAATTGTACTTTTTCTTAAAAATTTCAAATGCTGTATATTTGTGCAAGCTTAGATTCAATTTTTTATAAGCTTTTTTTGATACTAGACACATAAGGGTTTTTAAGGCCATTTTTTCAGTTAATAGCTCGTCTTTTATGGAACGGCTCAATTCGTTAAAATATAGCATCATCCTTGGAAACAAATAAATTGTTGATTAGTTACAAACTGTCAAAATTAGCTTTGTGAGCATTATAATAAAAACGTGTTTGATAATGATTTTTTATAAAGAAGAAATGGTAAATATGGTGTTCGTTTTGGGCGAAGCCCAAAGAAATAGTTTCTTAGCATCTCGCATTTACAAGCAACGGTACCCTAATGAGACATCCAAGGCCGGAAACATTATTATCGATAATTTTAATTCTAAAATGTTCTGGTATACAAGAGTTATCAATTTGTTGTTGTCCATGGTAAAATAATAAGTAGGTACGCAAAAAACGCAGGTCGTACAAAAAAAATCAAATATGTTTGTTTGAATGTTCAAATGGTTCTCACGACCTTATGCATACTCTCATGCTGGTGGATGCCAGTGTGAGCACGCTCATTAAAACTGGTGTTTTTTTTATTTTGCCGATTTTGTCAGAACTCGTCAGCACATATTTGCGTCAGAATTCGTATCCACAGTAATAGTAGCCTTAGTCATCCGGACTTAACATTTTTCCTAATGGAGTATACAGCTAGCCATCTGCGGGTTTTCTACCATGTTTATTATTCTAAACTATGTCATTTCTAGTTATCTTCTTATAGTTTTGATAATAAACATTATTATCATTTATTATTATTATATCTTCAATATTCATAAATGGCATCCGTTCGGTGTCAAGGCTCAAGCAAACCCAACATCACCCGTTACTGTTCAGATACGTGTATATGCGAGCTGGTCCACGCTCTTGGTCTTTACTCCATACTTTCGGATCACATGACATTTTACATTCCACGCACCAAATGCATTGCTGTATTGAGAAAATTGAAACATACCTACCACTGCCACTGAGGAAACTGTACGTGCCAATGGGCGTAGTGTCCTTACCTCAAGACCTTTCTTCGTGCTCAAGGTTCCTTCAACTTCGTTGCAGTGGTCAAAGTAGCCCACACTTCTGCCTAACTGCTTTCGATCTGGTGCCATTGCAGCCCTGACTTTCTGAAAAACAACCTTCCCACTTTTGTCTGCAACCTGTTCATAAGCTTCTGCTACGTGGTTTTCGTAGTACTCTGGATCATCTTTTGTAAATAGGAAGGCCGACCCGCAATATGGTACGTATGTCTTGTTTAATGCTGAAGAAAAAATGTTTTATTGAAGTATGAATAGCATAATTATGTGATCAGAAGATACCCAATTATTCGAAAACCACGTCTGCTTGAGGCTATAATACATGTTCCGAGTTTTGAGAATGCGAAATATTGGGAATAATTTATTATAAGACAGCTTCACGGGATCTTTCTTGGCAGGATGATGTCATTGATGCTTAAACATAACTTTCGTTGAACAAAATTATATCTTTTCTTATTATTCCTATGGTTACTGCTGCGATCCTAGTTGGCAATGCGGGTTGACGACAGAAATTCTATGGGGTCCAAATACAGCTTATAGTCAAGCATTTTGGAGAATATGTTAACCAAGCATAAGCACCCTCTTGAGGTACAATCTTTTATCATTTCACAGTTTCATAAGTCGCCGTAGCATTTTATTATACACACGACAGTTGCTTGCTGTGTTAGCATCTTCAGCAAGGCTTAGACCTTTGAATTTCGTTCATCAAATGGCCACAAACAGATATTTCATATTAATAGACCTCGTAATTATTTATGTTATGAGTTCTGTATTAGTTAGATTACCGAGTTGGCCTAGCTCTGAGAGCCAGCCATGTTTTAAACCTCAGTCCAAACTAATTCCCATTATATCGCAATAAAGTAGTTGGGTTAGTGAGAGGTGATCAATAATGAGCTAGGATGAGATGGACAACAACAAGTGCAAGGTTGTTAGTTACAGAGGAAAAAAACTTTATATTTTCAATCGTAATGTTGATGGTGCTTTGTAGGATAGATGTGATAGAATATATAATCAGAGATTTAGATGTTCCTTATGACCAAAGATTAACATTTGCTCCCCATATTTCTCAAACAGTTTCTAAAGCACTTAAGTAATTTCCTAGTCAGGAATTGTAGGCAATTTCACGACAAAAGGGCTTTGAAGTTAATTATATTTTGTATATCTGCGTACCAAACTTGATTATGCGAGTATTATATGGGTATTACTAAATTGAAAAGGTTCAAATACGGTTACTCCAGTTTTTTTATACGAAGTCTGAGGGAGTTTATCATGAGCAAGGGGTTAGCAATGCTGAGCTGTGTGAGCATTTTGAAATTCAATGCTTAGAGTTCACAAGAAGGGTTTCATCTGCAATATTACTTTTCAAACTTTTCAAACATGGCATGATCGGCTCCCCAGACATTCTAGCGCTAATTAATATTAATGTACCTCCGTTTTCATCACGCAGTTATGTTACTTTTCAAACATTTGGATCAAGGACCAACGTTTTGGTCTAGTCACTATTTATAGCTAGGATGGCTTATCGGTACTTAAATTGATTATTTTCTTTCCAAACTCTGACATACACTATTAGTATTATTAATTTTTCTGTAAATGGGTAGCTGTTGGACAATAAATGCTATTATTATTATTATTATTATTATTATTATTATTATTATTATTATTGTTTTGCTCATAGTTCTCACGTATGATGGTGTACTATCATTGAGGGGGAGTTCACCCCAACCAAGGCTAGTTCTTACAGAGACAGTGCCTTTCTGACAATATGACACGTTTGTAATATATCGGCCTGTTGGAGTAGTATGTGAATGTCGTTTGGAAGGTGCACTATCTTTAAGCTTGAGGAAACTTGTTTAGTAACAGTCTCTTCTACAGAGATAACTATGGGAATAATCTGCACTGCCCTTAGTTTCCGATTCCTTTTCATTTCAATCGCCAGGTTCTGGTATTTGACAGATTTTTCACGCACTACCTTGTGGATGTTGTGTGTGTATTATTATTATTATAATTATTATTACAATTATTATTATTATCATCATTATTAAAACGATAATTTTAACTTTTTGCCTGATATGAAGTTCCAATACAAAAATAAAATGAACTCTCTCAAAAGTTATCATAAAGCGCTAGAAATATGGTGCCCCTCTACAGAAGACAGCTATCAAATAACGAAGTGTAGCTGTTTAGATGACTCATGGTATTATTTGGTATGCCAAAGAAAAGGAGCTTTGGACATGAGACTTTTTATCTACTGCAAGGAATATGCTCACGAAATATGCGTCGGATTGACTAATAGGATGAAAGTAGGTCTGCATCACCTAAATTACCGACGCCGGATAAAAGCTTCAAAAACCTGAGACACTTGGGTGAAATTGAGATTTTTCCCTTGACACCTCAGATGTTTTTTATAATGAAAATTGAAACATCGTTACCATTTTCAAAGTGTTTTATTAGTTCAAACATGTTGTTAACGATTTATCAGGTAACCAAATAAGTTCGTGCGGTTGGTGTATATCGCACATTGCCATGTATGTTGTTGATCGATAGCGATTATTTAACAATGTTTGTTTTCACATAATCAACTTAAACCTATAGCATAAAAAATTATATACTTAAGTCATTACTAATAAAATTATACTCTCTCTTTCTGGGGTGCAAAATATAGAGGACCATAAATCATCTACTGTCGTGCCTACGTTTTGTGGCAGACAGAAGTGAGGGGTGGGCACGTTCGTATAATGAAACATGTTATGTGTTGCTTGTCTCATTGAAACTATATACGAAATGTTCAGCAAGTAGGTAAGTATCTCTGTTGATCGAATACTCGAATGCGGGATCGATCACTTGATGCCTGAGCTAACTGAGGAGCAGACTTGCAAATTGCATTTTGTCCATTTTTACCAATTTTCAGGAGAAGCAAAAAACCAGTACAGAAAAGCTAACCATGACAGAAAATTTTGTTCTGGATAATATAATGCTATCAGGTGTATCGACCTCAATCACAAGTTTTGGTACAAGAAAGTCGAAAAACAAGTTGAAAAAATTGAAAAAATTGTTGGACAGAATGCAGTTTGATTGTCTCTAGTGGACAAAATGCAATTTAAATGTCATTGTCAAGTTAACAATAATAAAAAATTTGGTTTTATTTAAAAAAAGGTGTATATTGAAACAACAAAACAAAATTTGTAAGTATTACAATAATATTAGGAGTAAACAATTTTATTTTTAAAGGAATTCATTATCATCATTCTCAGCGCATCCACAAGCTTCTTCGTCATTTTCGTGCTCTTCATCGTCATCATTACAGTTTGCCACAGTTTTCTCAAATATTTCAGCCATCCATTTCAGCTGCGGGTCTGTTTCATACCATTTGTCACCAGACAATGAAACAAGTAGGTTTTTTAGACTATCAAGCTTTTTCTGCTTTACTTCATGTCCAAGTCGTACTTTAGGAAGTTCAATTTGATCCAACCGCTTTTTAGGTTTCAACAAAGTTTGGAATTTTTTCGCTGGATCATCCGTTCGATACAGCAATTCAGATTTCACCACAACGCCTGAGGGCTTTCCCCGTTTGATGATTATTCTTTTACTTGAACTAATTCCTAGGACTTTTTTCAAACAGATGGAAGCTTCTTTTATATTCACCAATGACCAATCAGTTCCAAGTTTTCTGATTTCACCTACTTGTTTGTAGAGTTCCCAATATTTTTCAGGTGTTTTTATGACCGCGTGTCGTCTTAAAATCTTTTCCACCCTCCCAAAAATTCTATCTGCCGGAAGATAAGAGTGTCCTCGCACTGGGAAGATAACTTCTATTTTTTTAATTGTTTCTGGAGCAAAGCGGTGTAACCATAACATTAGCATGTGGATGGTAAAGCTATTTTTATTTTGCCCCCCGCATCCATCGGAGAAGAGCCGAAGAGTGTCTATATTCGGGGAAAAATTGGTCTTTTTCAAAAAATCAAGCAGGGCGGAAGATATTTCTGTCGCTCCCCTGCCAGCTTGGTGTTCCATCCATGAATAAAAAACAGGGTTTTTACAGTTTGTGGCTGTAACGCAAAAAAAGTAAAATGACAGCTGCTGTGCATAAAAAGCATCTTGTATGGGAACTTTTGGGAGAACCTGCACTTGTTGCAAGTCAAAACAAAAAGACACTGAGTTAGGAGATGCTTCTTTCATCATTTTATGGAACTGAGATGCTCTAACCTTGTGAACTTTTAACTGGGTCTCAAGTTGGCCTTTATCGATAATATTCCTCGCATTACCGATTTGCGTTGCTGTTTTAACACAAAAATTACATACATCTGTAGCCGGGCTACCAAAGCCTATGTTGAAGTGATTACTGAAGACCCTGCTAAAGTATTTATAATTTACTTTTTTTTCATTAGTCACTTTTTCATTATAGAAGTTGCAAAGTTTAGCAATGGTGTATTCGGCAGACAAGTAGATTCTTCTTGATTTAGAACGGCTGTAGTGACTTTCTTTCCCTTTCAGGTTGCTTATAAACTTTTTCACCTCATTTAATTTGTTGATAAATTTGTGAGATTTTCTATCGCCTCCTCTTTTTTCAGTAAGACTTGATCCCATTTTTATTTTCTGACATATTGTGTTTATTCGCCTTTGAGACACGCTGAACATAGCTCTAAATAGTTTCTGGCAAATTTGTTTTTTATCACCTTCAAAAAATATCTGAAAAAAAACGAGAGTAAGTCACAGTTTAAAATACATTTCAGATGGTTATACTTACGAAATAATTTACGGAAAAATTATGGGACTTTCCATTTTCTTTGCGACTTCGTTTTCGTTTTGGCTCCTTAATCTCCATGTAGCTTGCAAGCAAGTTGTCCTGCGTAATTTTGTTAGGACTCTCGAAAAAGGTTTGGCGGATTTTCAGCATAGCTCCTTTCGATAATTCTTCGCAATCAAGATTAGAATTTTTATGATTACAAACTACGTTGAAATTGTCTAGATTGATGTCCAAATTGGAATACCTTAAAAGTGAAACGGAAAATAATAAAATATTTTAGGCTTATAACCTAACAAATACCTTATTTGTTTTTTTCTCTCACGGCTTGTTGTATTCCTTTTTCTTTTCCTACTACCCCTATCCACACTATCACCAACAATATGCTCCCCTTCTAACTGTTCCATTTTGATCCAAAAGCAACACTACTTCAATGTTTTAACAATTAAAACTTGAAAAAGTCTCCAAGGTAACACCGAACTATAACAACAGATTCTGATAAAATAAACAAAAACCCCATCAAAATGCATTTTGTCAACGTTTATGGACAAAATGCACTTTGAAAGTACCATGTGAGTGGACTTAAATCAGTTTGTTTGTCTAGGTATAATTTTCCCCTCAATAACACGGGGACTAAATACATTTTGACTGTTCAAATGTTTAAAAAAAGATAGTATTTCATCATAGGAATGCAGCGCCACCTGTATCTCAAATATGGAAAATTTGGACAAAATGCATTTTGCAAGTCTGCTCCTCAACTGACCATGTTGAATGCTCAGATTCTCAGATTCATTTCTTCACCGGCTTAGTATTCTTGTTAGATAAACTACCTAGCTCTACATGGATGCGACCAGTCATCAAGACTAAAATTATGAAAACGATATATTAAGTTTTATGCTATTACAAAAATTCAAGCATGCAGCAGTATTACTGGCTGAGAAGTGTTCAAAAGCATTATATTTTACACTTGTTTAGTCTCATTTGTACTATGGTATGATTGGATGGGCAGCAGTGGCCTCAAGTCTCAGAGATTACTTCGTGATCAGATTTTTTGGTTCAAGTACTCTCATATTGCGCAACTAATGAGAATAGAGAATATGAAATCGAAGAAGTGTTGTTTGTCATTTGTTATTGTTTTTAATAAACTATTCGAGTTGAAAAACTGTTTTCCTTAGTCCTTCTGTACAGCACAGATACAGCTCAAGTATGCTATTAATGGCGATTTCGACGACTTCGAGTAGCCGAGTTATAATGCATGCATGTAGCCCCATATGTTGGCAGAAGACTTCCGAGGTGACTAGACCAAACTGAAGGACGTACGTCTTTGAGCTTACACACTCTAGCGTCTTCGTTCAGAAGCAGAAGCATACCATGAGAATCATTCACGGTTGAGGTCGGCCAAGTTTCGATGTGTACGAGAGAGAAGCGTACACGTATGTTAGAAAGAGTGCTCCGTGTGCTTCCACGCTAACGTATACAAGCGCCGTGCTGATTATTTGTTGGCGCACTCTTTCTAACTCTTTCCAACATACGTGTTGCACACTTCTCTCGCCTCCCTCTCTCTCTCTCTGTCTCTCGTACACGTTGAAATCCTGCCGATCTCAACCATAAATGGTTTGCATGAAAGTGTTTCCGGAAGTTTTACTGTGACCAGGCAAAAACCGTTAAAAGAACTATATATACTTCTTTAGCTTAGATGTTGAAATGGCTAGCACAGACAAATATGTTTGAAAATATAAATTTTTGGAACGACTAAGAAGTGCATATCTTATTTAGCCGATAAATTTTATCTAGTACTCACCAGCATCAGCTAAGTACAAATGAAGACCCAAGACGAAGGTCAAACAGAGTATTTTCATTTTCAGTAAGCTTATGTCAGTGCTACTGCAAAGAATTGTTTCAATGCAACAATGCTTTACTCATTTATACTTTTTTTTAATCAACCATTGTTAGCGAAAATGGTGATCGTTACCAGAAAGATAAGTGATATGCATTTTAGGTAGTATCGAATATTTACAATTGGTTCCCTATAATTACCAGATATAGGACTCGCTGGGTATATTCCTTTGTTAGCATATTCCTTGTTTTACTATGATGCCAGTCATGAGGACACACATTTTTATAATATGGTTTGGCTGCCATTTGTCAGCTATGCACTGATATATCAATCAGCAAACGTCAAAGAGTTGTGTATTAAAGTATTCGTAATATTTCTCTATGGCACGGGACTACAGCAACCGGGACAAAACAGATATTATTGAATTAGAACCGGGAACGTCGATAATTTATCACCTGAAATTTAACCTGTAGTTTTCATGTTGATAGCACTCCAAGATCTTCTAGCTAAATGAAACCACATATGCCTTGAAAACCCTTTGCTGACATTTCGGTGGCATGTGGTTTCATTTGGTCAGAGGATCGTCGAGTGATGTCAAAGCCTCCTTTAATTTTGATTATATGATAATTATATTGTTCAACATTGAAAAACCAATTGTCGTCGTCGCGTTGAGTTTCTGAAATGATGAAAGCTTCCTGTAAATCGATGGCACATTTTATCACAACTTAAAATTAACACGTCTATTCAATGCTCCTGACGAGTTATTATATGTATCTATATATATATACAGGGTGACTTTGAAGTTGAGTCATTAATTTTCAGATAATGATTGTAGAAAGAAGACAAACCAAAATATGTGTGTAAAAATAAAAAAAAATTGAAAAAATGTTACCTTGTTTTGTAAAGTATACTCCCGACAAGTATTTCAGTGCGGACCAATATTTGATCGTGCGGTCTTGGAGCACCGGCATGCCCTCCCCTGTGAGGTCTTAAGTCACCTGATTCACGAGCCCCTTGTACTACATTAACAAAGGCATGAGGAGTTGGTTGCACTCGATTGGGAAACCGATCCGCATAAATTCGTGATGCCGCGGCAGCATTTTGTAAAGACTTCCCCCCTGTAAATAAGAATCATGTCCACAAGTTCAGCATTTTCGTAAACATGTGCCATTTTTTTTCGTTTGAGCCACGCAACAAACACCACTATTCACTCACGCGTTACCGACTGACACATTGACTGAATACAACTGAATAAGATTGTAGTAAAAACATCGCGTTTCAAATTCTTTCGCTTTTTTGTTTCCGATACGATGAACCGATAAGGCGGATTATATCCGTTGTTGCCAAACACGAGCACATAATATTATTATTGAGTTAGGGCGGTACTCAAACTTCTGAAGTACTATAACTTTGTTACTTTAATTTTACCAGAGAAATGTTAAAGGAAAAAAACATTTCTTTTGATCAGATCTACTCACTGTTAAAATAAATGATTCAACTTCGAAGAACAATAGAAAAATAATGAGCAAAATCCGCAAAAAGAAGGAAAGTGGATTCGAGCAGGAAATAGGATAGGTAACCCGAGCGATACGTATTTCTGCAGTTTGGCTTCATCAGGCCCGAAATGAATGCACAAATGCAACTACAAAGGTAGATACACATGCCCACACATCCGGTTAGGGGTGTAACCTGAGGAAACGAAGACGGAGAGGAAAAAAAAACACATGTAGTCCACAACAAGAGCCAACCTACACATTGTCGTACTGATTGATTTGGAAGAACTTGAAAAACTATCAACCATTGAAATATCCTTCGAGATTTATCTTCTTTTTCCTTGATAATGTCCACATTGTTCAACACGTACCGTCCGATTGACCTTCAAGTTTAAGTTACAAGAGTGTGCTTATGCAATACTTTGCCTTCTACCCAAAGAAATTCAAGAATATATATATATATATATAACTTGAGACGTGGTCATTGTCGTCTAGACCAGTTAGGTGAAAAATTAAAGCTTCCGCCTTTTGTTGTGTACTTCGACAAAATTTAAGCAAAGAGGACTCTTTATACTTTTTCAATTCTCTCTAGCTTTCAATGGACTTTGCCATCATCATCAGGAGAGTAGTATGTGAGGATGTTGCTAATTGTTGTTTACGTATAGGATGAGGGAAACGTCCAGTAACATGGTGAGAGCTGGATAGATTGAGGTGCAATCATCAAGTGGCTTCACGATGTAATGCTTTCATGTTTTTAAATAATTTTTAATCTGTTTTTAACTTGTTCTTGTCATATTTTATATAATTTTGTCCATTGTGCCATCTATCCAGCTCTCACCATGTTACTGGACGTTTCCCTCATCCTATACGTAAACAACAATTAGCAACATCCTCACATACTACTCTCCTGATGATGATGGCAAAGTCCATTGAAATCTAGAGAGAATTAAAAAAGTATAAAGAGTCCTCTTTGTTTAAATTTTGTCGAAGTACCCAACAAAAGGCGGTAGTTTTAATTTTATATATATACATATATATATATATATATATATTCCCTTCCAGCGGTGTATTAGGAATATAAATCTTTATAGGGAATCATTACATCTTCTATAGAAGCTCTTCGTCTTTCTCTAGCAAGTCTTACATCAGAGTGTACCAAAACTAATGGATACGGCAATTTTAAAAAAGATCAACATGTCTATACCAAGTTTGAAGATAGCGTTCCAAGGTTTTTCATGGTCAGCTTTTATTTTTAAATGGAAAATCCCCATTTTGATACCGGCACTCAAAAGTTCGGAGAATTCCACATCCGAATATCTATTAAAATCAAAGTCCAAAGTGACCAACAAGGGTCAAACGATTATTAAAAAAATTTAAGTCGTCTGTCTACTTTAACGTCATTTCAAAGTCAACTTTTTTGGACTGATTCAAAAATAGATACGATACAACTACTTCGGTTGAAACTCGAGTGTTACAGTATTGAAATTTGCTGAAGCAATCGGCTGATACTAATTATCCAGTAGGCATGGAGCACATAATTTCAATCATAGATCCCGTCTGGGCTGGAGCTTTACCGTATCAAAGGGTCTCTAATATTGCATCCAGAGGTTAAGGTACTTATGGCTATTTATTGAATTAACCCAATCAGTGAGAGTCTATACGCATTACGATTATCGTAACCAGGTTTGTAGCAGGGCATTTTGTCTTCATGGCGTATGAACAGAGACGTAACTAGGAAAATTCCTTTGGAAGAGGGATTCACCGGAGAGGCGTTTCTCTTCAGTATCTTGACCAACAATTCAGAACGCTGAAGATATAATTTAGCACGAACACCTCTCCCCAATCGTAACAGCTACTGGAAATGACCTAAATTATATTTTTAGAGCTATGAAATAGTTTTCGCCATCTAATTGGTACCATCGAAACGGTTTCTAGCCATACTGATCTCTAGTCAACCATCGCTTACCCCGATTTTTCAACAAAACCCCTTTCTTTGCGTGGCCACAATCCTGAAAGAATACATTGATAGAACGGCTTCTTTAAGAGAACCCAATAACGATTTCCTATTTGTGACATGGAAAAAACCCCATGGCAGGGCGTCTAAAGACACTTTAAGCAGATGGGTAAAACAGACCCTTTCCTCTGCAGGAGTAGACACAACACTTTTTACGCCTCATTCAGTAAGGCATGCGGCGACTTCTGAGGCGTTAAGAAAAGGCGTTTCCGTAGATGTAAAACAGTTGGTTGGATGCAACGTTCCACGTTTGCAAGATGTTATAATCGTCCTCTACAACCAAACAATGAGTTTGCAAATGCAATCCTAGATATAAAATTGGTCTGATTAGTTAAGTTCTAATACTCTTAAGAGTTTATTACATGTTTCCTGTGTTTCAGTTGTTTCTCAAATCAACGTTATCTTTAGGTTACAATTTGAGAATTAATTTTATGTTTGTTACATAGGAATACTAAATATATGGTTTTGTTGCTTCTGAACACTTTGATTCCACTTTATAACACCATCAGATCGCTCGCAACTGTGTTCTATCTTTAAACATCTACATAGTAAATAAACAAAGTGATGTCTTCGGACTGGACCTAAAGTATAATTAGTCGATCAAACGAACTTACCTTAAGTGAAGTTCAATCGTGATTATACGAGGGTCCATCCTGAAGACATCACTCCCACCCCTTTTTTCAACCCTCCGAAGTTGCGAGCAAGTACTATTTCTTTTAACAAATGACTCAACGTGCAAGACCGGAGCGCGACGGGACGGGAGCGGGGATCTCTTGTCTTTTAACTTGGTGTGCGGCTAGTACTCCAGGGCCGGACTACATAGTAAATGAACAAAGTGATGTCTTCGGACTGGACCCTCGTATAGTTACGATCGAACTTCACTTAAGGTAAGTTCGTGTGATCGATTAATTATGTCTTATCTCCACATAGTTTAATATGATTTGGTAGCCTATTGAAAATTCGTGGACCCAGTCTTTCGGGTGATCTGACGCCGATCTTATACTTGGCAAAACACACATTCAAGTCTCCAGTTTGCCTGGTCGAATGCGAGTTAAAATTATTTAAAAACCTATTTTTGTGAATAAAAGTATACACATCCATTTCGTACAAAAATAAAGATAGTAAAGTTAAAATCTTAGTGCGCTTAAAAATTTCCTTACAAGAATGCCAACTACTGACTCCTATCATGCATCTAACCAATCTCTCCTGAGCCAAAAATATTTGCTGGACATTTGTGGACAAACCCCAGAAGCATAGTCAGTCGTGTCTCAACTTGAGCGTAGTAAACATAAGCTATCTGTGCTTCGGTAAGGATCATTAGCAAATTTTTCATGAGATATGATTGGGAGTTTATCTTTGATGCAATATATACAGTGGTCCTTAAAATTCAAACCTGTGTCTAGATACAAGCCCAAGAATTTGACCTGGGTGCCAAGGGAAATTTTTGAGCCATTAAAGGTGATATTTAATACCATAGGCTTCTTCTGAATGCTGTGAAATGAACCGATGTTTTTTTAGAATTTAAATAGTGCTGATTGCTGCTAAACTACTTGTGAATATTTTGCAGTAAAACTCCA